AAAACAAAAACTGAGGGTGATAGGATTCTAAGTTTTTTAAAAAACTTGACGGTATAAATATCGATATTTATATTTATAGTAAATATATTTTATATGAAATGAGCGTTTTGACTTAAACTACAAGCTCGTTATTTAACATTTAAAATCGGACTCCCCTGAATAAAATTCCTGTATCCGTCACTGTTGGGTTTGGTTGGGGATAAAAATATGTGGTTGTTAAAAGTTGAGTTGTGTAGGTGGAGAAAAAAAAATAATTTTTTATTATTAATTTGGGTTGGGTTGAGTTGTGGATAAATATAGTTAAAGAGGATTGGGTTTTGTTAGAATCCGACATAACCCGGGTTTTCTTTCCAGTTTTCCTACTTATGTGGCTGGCTTCATGTGAATCAAGGCATAAAAGAAGCCAACACTCAACATAGAGAGCAAATGCTGGTTCACAGTCTCATAAATTCATAATGAGTCCAAGAGATTATTATTATTAATAATAATTTAAAAGGTGCCACTTCGAAAAAGTATGCTTTGGGAACTGTAAAAGACGAAAAAGCTGATTGATGTACTTACTAATCGAACTTTCCACAGTCAAATTAAAGTCTATGTGCATTATATCCAAAACTCATCTCAGTATTGCTTGAGTCATTTAACCTACATCAAATACAGTACAAACAAAATTAAATGTGATAATACCATTAAATAGCCATCAAAATTTACAAAACACAAATTTTGGCCACCTTTTGTAAAAAACCTCTTTTTTAGCCACTTTGATATGTATTTTTACCACATTACCCTTGTGTCAATATTTTACTTTGTTGAAATTTTTTTTCCCCAAATTAGTTTAAACCCAAAAATTTCCCCGCTGCCCTGCACTCTTCCGCCGCTCTTCTTCTTCTTCCAATTTCCCCCGCTCTTCTTCTTCTTCCAATTTGTCTTCAAGAATTCATCTCCGGCGACCTCGCGACCTCCGGCGACCTCGCGACCTCGTGACCTCAGGACCTCCGGCGACCTCGACCTCAGGACCTCCGGCGACCTCGCAACCTCAGGACCTCCGGCGACCTCAGGGGACCTCGTCACGCCGTCTCTTCTGTCCGACGCGACCTCGCCACGCCATCTTCACGAACTAGGGACCTCGGTTTGTTTTTTTTTTAATTAGGGTTTGCCTATTTTTTGCCTATTTTTGCCGTCTTCTTCTTCCAATTTTTGCTGTCTCTTGTGATTTGCCTATTCTTGTGATTTTTGCCTTTTTTCAATTTGCCTATTTTTTTCTATTCTTTTGATTTTTTCCTTTTTTCAATTTGATCTGTTTATGTGGCTTGTTTTCTTCTTGGCTGTGTGAATAATGTACAAATGTTGACTGTATACACTTTCTTCCTCAATTTTCACTAATATTGTGTTCTTTGCAACATGAGATGAGAATTGATGACTGTGTTTTAATTCACTGAAAGTGGTGTTGTTTTTCATTTTGGTGCTGTTTTTTGTTTACCAATTCAAATGAATCCATAGATGTTTTGCTGCTGAAAATCGTAATTTAGTAATTTGGAATTTGAACTGTATGCATCTTCTCTGTTATTTTAAAAGCATGTATTAAGGTGTTTTGCTGTTGTTCAACGAGATTTGACAACCTTCGTCTGCAATGTGCATTGTTATTTAAACTACATAACCCTGTTGATAAATTTCTGCTCTAGAAACGCATTTTTACTGTTTGGGGGCATGTCGAACTATAACTTGATGTCTAAAAGTACTATCTAGTATCAAATGAAGGTAAGATTGGAAAATTAATGACTCTTACACAAGCCTCTTGTATACTATTACTAGGTTTTTATTTCTTGCGTATGAATCTTGAGCAGTAAAGTTTCTTGCTTATAATTTGACATAAGTGGCATATAATTTACTTTTTCTTATTTCATGTACTATATTACTCACTTTGCCCAATAAACATGTACAGATTATTCATTTTTCCTTCCACAATCACAGAGTGACATCATAATGACTTCTCCAACTGAGGTTAGTTTTTTTTTTTTCCATTTTTTATTGCTCCAAATTCACTTGTGTTTCATTTTTTTGTTTACTTTGTTTGGTTAACAAATAAGGTTGTACATTTCACTTGAAATTATGTATTTACTTTTTAGTTCTATTAACTTAATTATGTTGAACATCACAGGATAATAATTGGAAGTGGAGGTGGAATAGCTCTTGTTATTGGATCGGTAAAGTGAACTGCCATACGAAGCCTGAGGTTATTCACCATATCAAAGAAACGCTATCTTCGAATCGTTTGGGAGAGTTTGAGCGGTCATGTTTTGGTCACTTTTTAAAGTTTCACGACAATGCATATAACAGTGGCAAATTACTTTTGGCACTGTTTGGGAGAGAGGTAGAGATTGACAACCCTCGAGAAAGACAACGTTATTATCGTATTGGTGGTCGCAATCACAAGTTTGGGAAGGAAGAGTTTTGTGCGATCACCGGGTTAAGATTCGGCAATTCAGACTTTGATCCAGATACCAATAAGAGTCTCCCACCGGCTAATGGAGTTTACCGTCGATATTTCGACGGTAAGACTGTAATCGGGAAGGATTTGTTGTTTAAGTTTGTTCAACAAGAATTTGAGGAGGACGAGGCTCTTAAAGTGGCTTTCATACTCGTAGTATTCTTCTTCATTCTCTCTCCGGACTCCAGGATGTCGGTGCCACTGTGGTTGTGGACACTGGTTGAAGACACATCGAAATTCGAGGAATTTCCCTGGGGTTCATACGCTTTTCAGCGTCTTCACCATTATTTGGAAAATGGGATTAAACCGCCGGCTGGTGGGGGCAATGTGCAGTTCAATATATGCGGGTATATCATGGCACTTCAGGTAAATGCTATTTTTTTTTTTTTTTCATATTATTGTAATGATGCGGTTTTATTATTAACTTTGTTTGTTTTATATCTTCCACACAGATCTGGGCTTGTGAATTATTTCCCGAAATTTTAAAGGATTCTGGAATGTTACGGATGAGTGACAACCTTCCTAGGGGCGCGCGATGGGCATGTGCAAAGGTGCCATTCAAAGGTGCCAATAAACTCGATAATACTGAGGTAATTCTTGGTTTCATTAAAAATCAATTTCTTGTGACGTGCATGTTCAATTTGGAACAATGGCTTCTACCTAGATTTGTAGATTGATTATTTGTTATATTTTTTTGTGCTAGATTCCATATTCACCTATTTTGTTAACGGCCGAGGAGAGGAATGCCTCTTATATGGCGGGCATCGACAGAGATTTATCTTCAAATATTCAATACATTCACCGTGATCAGTGGGTGAGCAACTGTCAACCATTGTCGGCCAAAAAGCATGGACGAGGGTTGAAGACAATGCGACTCTCAAAGAAGGCCCGTTCTGCAAACAATCTGGATATTTCTGAAGAAGATGAAGATATTCCGCCAGCAAAAAGAAGAGCGCATGTTGTGCCGGAAAGACCACATTCAGTTGCATTTGAAAGAGCAACTGGATCATGTACCGGTGTTGATGAGGCGAAGATTGAAGATGTTGTATCGAAAAAAATTGAAGAGGCTTTTGCTAGGATGTTCCCTAGGTTTGTTGACGCTGCGGTTACCGAGGTGATTAAACGATTAGATGATTATCTAATCGTTCGAAGCACGGCCCGTCCCGGATCTGAGGATTTGGAGACCGTGAAGGATGATTTGGGGATGGATGATTTGGGGAAGGGAGAAGCATGGAGGCAAGAAAGAGACGATTCGAACAAAAAGTCTGATTTTGTAAGTTTGTATTATCTACAACGTACCCTTATTTTGTTATACAAAAAAAATAAAAATCTTTTATTTACATCCTTAACATTTGAACACAGGTAGTTGAGCCCGGTGATCATGGTGTTTCACGTGAGGATGTNACAGGACGTGGCTCAGTTGGGTTCGTCGTCACGGCTGGCTGGAGGTCAGAGCTCGGAGATTGCGGGTCGTCGTCGGAGGTTGACGCTCGCAATCGCCGGTGGAAAGTGAGCCATCGGGAGAAAATCGGCGTGAAAGTGAGAGTGAAAAGTGAAATCGATTTTGCCCTAGTCGCGTACTTAAATTGACTGCCGCGACTCGCGACTTTGACCGCGCGTCGCGAGCCTGGAGGTGCATAAAGCATTAAACACGCTGTTCTTCACCGCGAGTCGCCCGCGAGTCACCCGCGAGTCGCGACGTCTTCTCCGCGAGTCGTCTCCGCGATTCGCATGATAATTTTTTTTTTTTTAAAACACAATCTCAACACTACTTTTATTTATTACAAATACAAAACACAATTTCAACACTATTTTTATTAATTACAAATACATGGTGTTACAATAGCACAGTTTCCCGGCACGACACACACACAACTGGGCATTTTAGTGACTTTAGGCAGTACGGAGTTCACGCACGGCTACGCCTAGAGCCTTATAAAAAAAAACAAATTAATTATAAAAGGATGATTACATTAACATAACAAAAATACACAACAATTTGTCCCACAAAGTCATTAACCACACACAATTCATTCATACAAATAACATTCCAATTATGTTTTGCAAAAAAAAAAAAAAAGGTCATGAACGATGATTACATTTGCACTTGCGTGCAAGTGCGTCTAGTATGGCCGGGTTGTCTACATATTGCACACCTACGAACTTTTTTTCCTGACGATGAAGCGATAGTCGAGGGATCAACTTGAGGGACAACATGACAACAAGTCGTGGAGTAATGCCCACGTTCATTACAACGTGTACAGAATGATGATTTCCCAGAACTTGAAGAAGGCCCAGTGGATGGTATACGGATCATCCTTGGTCGTCCGGCTTGTTTTGGATTATTCGGTGATTTCACAACCAATGCCCTAACCTCTTCCGGTAGAACCCAAGCGCTTGGATGAGCAATGGGCATGATTATCGGCTCGTAAAGTCTGCGCAAGGTTGTTTTCTTGTAGTAGTCATGTACATAGCCGTATACCGATTCATTTGCAGTCCTATAAATAACCGATTAACCTTTGTACACAAAATATTTATTTAATCAACAATGAGTATTATAAAAAATAATAATAATAATAATAAACCATTACCCGATTGCCTTTATTGCATGTGGACATGGCAATAAATCAACTTGGAAGCGAAGGCAAGTGCACGTCCGATCATTTAGATTGACAACATAAGTATGTACCCCATCTTTGATTTGGTACACATGGTGACTTATAGGGGAAGATACGAACTTCTGAGCTTGCGCTTTATATTCCACCAATCTCTTTGATATTTGAAGAGGAACTTCATCATCAATTTTCTCCGCCTCAGTCCGCCTATCGTGAAACCATTGTTGCAAAATGTGTCTAATGCATTCAAACAAAGCACAAATTGGCAATCTCCGAGCCCATCGCACCCTATTGTTGAATACCTCACATGCGTTCGAGGTCATAAAACTATACCGTCTAACAGGACATTGACTACGTGCCCATCTATGAGGCAATGCATTCATTAACTCAGTCCATGCTTTGTCATGATCCTTCTTGAGCAGCGCCATTGATCTGTCGTAAACGATAGGGGAATAACTGTACGAAGCTTTCATGTATAAATGAACTACGTCACGACCAAACTTCCGAATATTTTGGCGTAAATGGTACGTGCAAATAACATGAGTTGCTTCGGGGTAAACAACCTCCAAAGCCGACTTGATGCTTGGGTGACGATCAGAAACAATGACCAAGTTTTCGGGACATCCGAATACATTACGAAGCGTATGTAGAAACCACGCCCAAGCATTGTGCTCTTCCTTGTCACCTATACCAAAAGCCAATGGAAATATCTGCTCATTTCCATCTTTTGTTGTTGCTACGAACAGAATGCCTTTATATTGACCCTTCAAATGGGTACCATCAACCACAATCACAGGGCGACAACAATTAGTGAATCCGTTGGAGGCATGTAAGGCAAAGAATGCGTACTTGAACACATCATCGTCATTTGTCTCATAGCATGTGGTGGTTCCAGGATTTTGTCGCATCAACATATGAAAATATCCAGGCAAAAGTTCCCAAGATTTATTATGATCTCCATAAACGAAGTCATACGCGACATTATGAGACTTTAGTGCTTTATTGTATTTGAGCGTAATACCATGATCACGCTCTAGGTCACTCATTATATCTCTCGGCTTTAACACCCGCCCTTCTGCCAATAACTTCGGCGCAAATAAAGCTCCAATGATCTTGGAAGGCAACTGTCTAGGGGCTGAGCGACTGAGGTCGAGCATACATGTATGATGGTTGAACTTACATATTTTCCAATTACCATCAACCATTGCATTAGCACGAAGTAAAAATAGGCAGCCTTTATGCTTGCAGACGGACTCAAATCGAGATTGTGATGACCTTTGTGTTCGATACTCCACTTTGTGTTGCAAGTGGTAGAATCCCAACCTCATTATCAGTTCTTCCTTGCTACCAATTATCATCCCTCTAAACAATTCAGATTCTGAGTCTGACACAGGAGGAGGAGGCTCTTGGACCCGAGTTTGCACATTCGGCAAATGATAAGTTACTCCAGGAACCATCCAACCGTTGCTCGAATGAAAATTTTTCTGTTTATTGAATGCATCTTCATTAGGAGCATCATTTTGGTAAAGGTTAAGTGTTGGCACATTATGAATATCAACACTCTTCCTCCGAGCGATGTCCTCATTTTCATTATCCGGCTCGAGTTGCTCATTCTCGTCATCATTTTCGCTATCATTCTCGTGGACGTTCGCTTCTCTATTGAAATCATCATAATCTCGACCATCATCGATGTCCTCATTTTCATTATCATGCTCGAGTTGCTCATTCTCGTCCTCATTTCCGCTATCATTCTCGTGGACGTTCGCTTCGTCATTCAAATTATCGTAATACCGACCATCATCCTCACCATCAAATACACTATCTTCACCCCAAGCAACATGGTTGGAAAAATCACTTTCAACATCTCGACAGGCGGAATGTTGCACTGTATTATTCTCAAAACCAATATTTGGGTTGCTTTGCCAATGTAAGTTTGCAAGGGATGGAACGGTAATACCATATGGATAAAACGGTTGACCTTGAGCAGCAATTAAGTTCAAAAATCCTCCTTGCCCCCCCGCAAAAGCATGAAAATTGGTTGGTGCTTGAGTAGAAAATCCACTTATTCCACGATCTTTGGCTTGCAATGTAACATATATAGTAGGTACTTGGAACAATTCGGCCAAATTGTGCAAGTCAGATTCACAAGAAATTCTCCATTTTTCCAACTCTCCATTTTCATTCGCCATCAAGAAGTGAAATCGATACTCACACGTATGTTTGTCTCCACCAACAATGTCATTAATCCTATTTAAAAAGTCTTCATACGACAAACTCCCCAAACGCATAAAGTTCATCTCTGCTTGTCCATTTTTATAAACATTCTCATCCCAAAATCCGCTATGCACAATTCGAACTTTTTCACACATCTGTAAAACAAAGATGCAAAACTATTTTACTAACAAATAATTCCCAATAACTAGTAATTAAGCAATCAATGTTTAATAAAACAAATAAAATTTGAAATAGAAATGATTTTTAGAATCACAGAAATGGTTTATACGATTCGAAAACAGATTTCTGGGACCAGAAATCAAATTTCTGGGGTACATCATTGGCTAGAAATCAATTTCTGGGTACATAAATCAATTTCTAGTACCAGAAATTGATTTCTGAGACCAGAAATACCAGAAACCAATTTCTGTGTCCAGAAATTAATTTCTGGACCCAGAAACCACTTTCTGGACCCAGAAATTAATTTCTGGAACCAAAAACCACAGAAACAAATTTCTGGAACCAGAAATCGTTTTCTGGGCCCCGAAATCGATTTCTGGGTTTAGAAATCGATTTCTGGACCTAGAAATATATTTCTAAATTTCTGGTCCAGAAATCGATTTCTGGAACCAGAAACAGATTTCTGGACCCAGAAATCGATTTCTGGACCCAGAAATATATTTCTAGTCCAGAAATCGATTTCTAAATTTCTGGTCCAGAAATCGATTTCTACAGAAAGTAAGGAAATCGATTTTTTGGTCGTTTCTGGAGGCAGAAATCGATTTCTGGGACCAGAAACCAGAAATCGCAGAAATCAATTTCTGTGACCAGAAATCGATTTCTTGTTCAGAAATTGATTTCTGAGACCAGAAATACTAGAAACCAATTTCTGTGTCCAGAAATCGATTTCTGGGTATCTTCTGGTTTCTGGGACCATAAATCGGTTTTCTGGGTCCAGAAATCGATTTCTTGGTCATTTCTGGAGACAGAAATCGATTTCTGAGACCAGAAACCAAAAATCGCAGAAATAAATTTCTAGCACCAGAAATCGATTTCGGTGACCAGAAATCTATTTCTGTGACAAGAAATCCCAGAAATCAGAAATCACAGAAATCAATTTCTAGCACCAGAAATCGATTTCTGTGACCAGAAATCTATTTCTTGAACCAGAAATCCCAGAAATCGATTTCTGCGATTTCTGGACTAGAAATCATTCAATGTTCAAGAAATTATTCATGCCCACAGAAATCTTTTNCAAAATCCGCTATGCACAATTCGAACTTTTTCACACATCTGTAAAACAAAGATGCAAAACTATTTTACTGACAAATAATTCCCAATAACTAGTAATTAAGCAATCAATGTTTAATAAAACAAATAAAATTTGAAATAGAAATGATTTTTAGAATCACAGAAATGGTTTATACGATTCGAAAACAGATTTCTGGGACCAGAAATCAAATTTCTGGGGTACATCATTGGCTAGAAATCAATTTCTGGGTACATAAATCAATTTCTAGTACCAGAAATCAAATTTCTGGGGTACATCATTGGCTAGAAATCAATTTCTGGGTACATAAATCAATTTCTAGTACCAGAAATTGATTTCTGAGACCAGAAATACCAGAAACCAATTTCTGTGTCCAGAAATTAATTTCTGGACCCAGAAACCACTTTCTGGACCCAGAAATCAATTTCTGGAACCGGAAACCACAGAAACAAATTTCTGGAACCAGAAATCGTTTTCTGGGCCCCGAAATC